CCCTCCCTTCCTTTCTTCATTCAAGCCAGGCTCGACGTGTGTTGCTATGTCTCATCTCATTCTCACGGCGTGAAAAAGGATCGTGCCTTGCCTTTTTTCCGGCTTGCTTGGCGCGCCTTCGTCTCCCTTGCCCCCCAGGTAACACGCAGTTCATAGCCCTTTTCGTGTCTCCGTGCCTGCCTCCGTGCATGGGCGCATCACATGGCTCTTTCAGCTCCTTTTTCTGTAAGCAAAGGGAATGTTTGGTGGAAAGACGCTTGAAAAAGAGCTGCCTTTCCTGCCATCTCGTGTGTGTGATGTCCGTGGTCTAATTCTTGTCATGTGGTGAGAATTAACATGGATTGCGTAGACAGCCTTTTAGATATAGCGTCCCTGAAAATCATGGATGCTTATGTTATCCACAGCTGCGCTTCAATCGGCAAGGCCATTGGTCCGAGGATGGCGGAACACTTCGCGCTCATGACGGGGCGGATGATCACGGAGGCGACGCTTCAGGGCGCCATCTTCGACGCCCCTTCCGCGAAGGATGCTTGTGATCATCATGATCCTTGTGTTTTTGAGGACGGGAGGACCAAGACTGGTGTCGTGGTGGAATGCAGAATCTGCCAAGAAGAAGGTGATCAAGCCTACATGGAGACCCCTTGCTCCTGCAAGGGTAGCCTCAAGGCAAGGTTTTCTGCTCCTCTCCCAGCTTGATGGTTCCATATGCTATGGAATTTTGCTTAATTGTTCAAACTCTAAACACCAGAAATAACCTCAATTTGAGAACCCGCTTATTATTCATCACCGCATCTTCAAACAATGGGACACGGCTCGCTTTCGTATCAGATACGTCCATATCAAAATGCCACCGGGAACACAAATTTCTATTTTCCATATCACTATCAGTGAATTAGTTCTTCTCTGTTATCGGAACCGAATCGGATTTTTCGAGGTATTATCCTTGTGTCGGTAGAATCATGTTTTTCATGTTGATTCGACTGCCCTTTTATTTTTCCCAGCAGATGCCCATTTATTCCTGCCAATTGAGGTTTTATTTGAACTAGTTTGTTGCTGCCTGCAGTACGCTCACCACATATGCATCCAGAGGTGGTGTAACGAGAAGGGAGACACCATATGTGAGATATGCTTACAGGTGAGTAATTCTCAACGGAAACCAGAAAGAAGCAGCTGAATTCAGTTTGCCCTTTACTTCCTGATAAAGCCATCATCAGTCTTCAGTGCCAAAAGATAGTTTGTTGACTAATTTGTTGCCTCTGCTACCTATGGCACAGCAATTTACACCGAACTACAGTGCCCCTTTGAAGTTGTTTCGGATCGGAAGAAACCAAATTAGCTTCAGGTGTCACTTGGTGCTTAAGATCCTTGGTAATTTTTTCGTCTGAGAAGGGCCTATCTAACATCCTAGGCCCTCTCTTCTCACTGCAGGAGAGCTGGAGAAACACCAGCGAATCTCAACGCTGGAGAAAACGTTTCCCAAACCGGTGATCATGCTGCTGGCACATCAAGCTTTGACTCTCAATTTTGCAATCCAAAAGGCGTCACCTACTGCCGTGTGATTGCCATCGCCGTAAGTGATATACGTAGAATGTAAACCTTCCATGCTCGTGCTGCATCCAACTAACGCATATTTGTTCCCAAACATGCACCTTCAGTTGATGGCTCTGCTGGTGCTCCGTGACGCAATCTCGCTTGTCCTCGGCGGCCCCAAGGTGTACTCGATGGCACTGATCACTGTAAGAGACTGAATCATGTAACCTGGTTAGACCTTTCTATTTTCTTGCCCTGAATGTGATTCATGGGCTATTCTGATACGGATTACGTTGATGAGACAGCTGCTGATGTTCAGAACAGCCGGAGTTATCATACCCATCTACATTATCTTGATATCAGTTGTCACATTGCTCCATCGGTACAGCCAACACCAGGTCTGTCTTTTTTTTTTTTGAACAAACAACAGATCTGTCTTACCCATGTCCAGTCACGTATATAAACCCTCAGTTTCAATCAGAATGTAAGATTTTTTTGCTAATGCAGGATGTGCATGGCGCGGCCCCAGTTACAGAACCTGTAGGAACTGAGGACTCACAGAGCCTGCAGCCGACGCCACCTCAACAGCATGTCATCAGCATCCAGTAGCAAGCTGCACAGGGAGAATGGTGGTTAGGTCCTGTCAAATATTAGTCTCATTGGATGAGGTTAGGGAGATCAACGCTGTCATTCATAGGATACAGAAGATGCAAAATCATTGCAAGTGTAAAGATGTTCCGTAGAATTGTACACAAAGCACATACTAGGAACAACACACTTGACTTAACAAGTCATGGAGATGAGAAGTGAAATTGAAGTGGGCATGTGTATATAAAGTTTAAGAAACCCTAGGCAAGTGTGAGTGAGTGCACAGCTTTCCAACATTCATGGCAGTGAAAATTTTGTGCCCAACTATGGAAGACACCGGGCACTAAAACGTCCGCATTCTCTTTGGAAAAAGTAGGGAAAATCTATGAAAATGGGCAAACGTTCACGGTTACATAAATAATACAGTACATCGTGTCCCTCTTGTTCGTTTGCACTATGCAAAAATTGCTTCATAAGTGTTCTCTTACTCTCTGTCCTTGCAAACTGGAAAGGACTGCCAGTATAGGCTACAACAACAACCTGAGGATAAAATTGAGCTACAAGAGCTACAACATAGAGAGAAAAACTCTTAAGCTGGCCTTTCACGCCCGTTGGAAAGCCACGGTGCACACTTGAGACCCCTCAACTCCGCCAAACATGATGGTAGGATACGTTTGGACATGATCCAAGTATCGGAAGATCTGGTGCGAATCACCTGCACCTCTGTCTGCGTCCTCCTGACCAAATTTCCGCATACCGAACTCTTCTACTTCTTGCAGAAGCTCATCCTTTGTGTGATTACATGATGTTATGACCTGAAGACACAAGCATAAGTTTCAATTCTACGGGACTGGTGTAAAATAAGAGTTTCAGAGAGTTTGCACGAGAAAGTACTGACCACAAGGCCACCTGGTTCAACCAAGTTTGATATAGATTCCCAATACATCACTCTGAAGCAAAAAAAAAAAAAAAACACATAAAGAGAACAATGTTAACTCAACATGATACTGATTATTGAATCGTACTTAAGATATCTTTAACACAGGCTTCTTGTGTATTGGAACCGCATACCCCATTAACCTATCCTGTATGTGCATATACTGCATTGCAATGAAATATAACTCACTGGTTGAGTTGTTAAAATCAACATGGTGTGCTGCTAAGCAGTGAAACTCGGCTATCTACTGCACTATGCAGATCTGAAACTAAACCAAATTGAAAGTTGGGCTCATACAGCCTAAAGCCCTAAAGGCTAAAGCTATGCTATTCACTATTACAGAATGCCAACAAATAAAAACTATCCAGATAGGAGACCTAATGCTTCCAGATTTCTAGCCATTCCAACTCTAGTATGCAAAATTTGAAGGTCCTTGTTAGATAATCAAATCTCACAGAACATATCAACAATATTTAATTCCGCAGCTATAGATAATCACGGAAGTGGACAAAAGCGAAAAGGAAATTTTAAGGGGGTGGCTAACCAAAGAATGACCGAGTCGTAGTTCCTGTACCTTTTTGCACGGCCATCTGGATGCAATCCAATGGCATCCAATGTCCCTTTATCTGTAATAATTTTGAACTTCCTGTCTAACTTTGTCTCAAGTACATCATCGACCTGGTGAAGACAGAAATATGAGTTACTACAGTCGTCAAAACACCATAACTGTAAGCACTTAATAACCATTTGATAAGGGCATCTCCTACAGCCCTCCCCAAACCTGCCTCATTCGTCCGCCCGGACAGTCAGGACTAAAAAAACAGCCCAGCGGGCCTCCCCAAACCTCTCCATTTGTCTGGGCTGTCCAGACCGCCCCAAACCCAGCCCACATATGGGGAGGATATGGGGCTGAACGGACATGTCTGCCACATCAGACCAAACCTGGGCCTATCCCAAAATCAACAGAAAAAATGTCCAGCCCCAAATCGACTCACTTTCCTCAGCTCTCCGCCCCGCCTCCATCCACCATTCCCATGTCCGGATCGGTGGACGATGGCATCGACTGGGAACTCTTAGAGGCAAAGGACAACGAGAACCTCGCCTTCCGCCAGCCGAGGGTGGAGACCCGAGGCTGTCTGTCATCCTCTCCACCCCGGCGCGAGTCAAGTGGCAGCGGGCCATCATCGCCGCCCACCGTCCCCACCGCAGCACAGTTCGAGCTCCGTCCCCGGCTGCCCGGCACGGGTGGAGCAACGGTGGTCAAGCTCATCCAAGGCGGCACCATGGCCCTCCTGCTGGGCGGATCCAGCTCGCGCAGTGTGTTCGGCTCGCTCGACGCATCCTTCTCCGCTCCAGCACCCATGCCATCCTCGTCCGAGGACGAGCAGGTGGTCCACGGCATCCTTCAATGCTCCTTGACCACGAAGGAGTCTGCCGCCTGCCGCCGTCGGAAGAATGCGAAGGCGCTTCGGGAGGGGATCGAGGCTTCCCGAGCCAAAGCCCTCGCTAATGAACAAGCCCGCGTCGCCAGAGCCCTCACCGAACGAGGACTATGATAACCCCTACGACGCATTCATCCACTTCCACTTCAGAAAATGCCGGTGAAGTGTTGCTTCTCCTACTGCTATATCCTATGGCATTGGAATATGTGTTGTTTCACGACTATGTCATATGTCTTTGAACTATGTTGTATGAACTTTTCCTATGTCGTATGTCAATTGGTTGTGCTAAGAGCAAGTCCAGTTATGGAGGAATAGCAGTAAACAAAAGATTAACAAAGAGTTCACCAATTTCAAGAAAAAAATGCATGCATGGCAAGTACAAAGTTGAGTATCTTTACACTTCACAAAGTGAGCCTTTGAATATACATGCAAACTACCACTAGATATTTTATTTCTTCAGTATGTTTGCTCAATTCATGGCAATTGATTTTATTTTATGTGGTGGAGCTTTAGGGCTGAATACATTTTCTTCCTGGGAAACTGCACTTTTTGTTGACATTATCTGCCACAAACTGGATATAGTACCTGCTATGACGGAAAAATAGTATACATTCCCCTCGTTTATGGTCTTTCATGCTTTTACTTTTAGAGATGTTAGAAATATAAGAAAAAAGAGGCGACTTGGGTAAACAAACTATGTAGATTCTTAGTAAGTGTTTGTTCTTTTCGACAAGATGCAAAGATGCTTCTCGTTTAGCTAAGACTCGTCCAGACTAGTGAAAGTAGCTATTGTTGTCATACGCTCTTTCTCTTTGAGGCTACAGAATATGTAACAACATGTTAACTACAGTTAAGAAATTTAGAATATAATAACAAAGTGTAGACTTCGTAGACAAACATAGTTTGACAATATTTGTAGCATACAAATATAAGAGGATTCCATCTGAATACAGTATACTGACCAAAAAACTTATAGTAGTGAACCCATCACGAGCAGCAAGGTTTCTTGCAAGTTCAATGGCCCCTTCACTGTAATCAGTTCCTGTTAAATCTGAAAACCTGAAAATTGAAACTATTCATTCTTCTGCAAACATATGATCTTCAAAATCCATAATAAGGGCAACTTTGGCATTGACAGTGGCTTTCAAAAGCACTGCCTCACTTTAATAAAAACGGAAATATTTAACTAGAACTGAGAATGGGTATTTCGGGAGTAGTCTGTTCAGTTCTTAGAAAGTTAGGAATACGTTAAAAGTTGCTCTGCGCACATAATTAAGCTAAATAATTGTATTAACAAACTATGCAACATGATGACATCATTTCTTAAGTACCATATTATTGAATTAGCATAATTAATTCAATAAACCCTTACTATGTGTAATGGGTATAAATAAGAAAACATATTTAAGATTACTCATTGTTTGTACCCCTGCTTGGCAAGTGCTTGCAAAAGGAGGCCGTTGCCAGTTCCAAGATCAAGCACGGGGTAGTCAAACAAGTGTTTATCATCAACTTCAAATTTGATGTCGTCATTAGCCGATGAAAGTCCACCTTGGATAAAGCTTACACACAATTTTTTTGTCCAAATGGCAACAGTATCCATTACATCTGCACCAAACCTACCAAAAGAGAAATGTTGTGCTCAGTAGCGACAAATAATGAATAACTCAACCATTCGATATACTCCGCAAAATAGCACTGGGGACCTTAAAGTATCAATGAAGAATTCAATATTTTCTAGAAAATCTCTATTATTATGTCAATTGTCAATTACGTAAATAAGTGGGTTTTGGTGTGAGTGCGTGCTTGTACTCCAGATTCTAAGTTTGAGGAACCAGAAAGAAAAGGTGAGTATGCATGCTCAATGGCTCTTTTCAAATGCATGCACTATGTCTATAATACAGATGATCAACGGCTTCATACAAAAAATAGTTGACAATAAAAGAAAAATAAAAATAATAAAGTTGTATTCAATAAAAAAGTAGAGCTAACACTTTATAATTTGCACTATACAAATTCTAAACAATAAAAACAGTTACATCGTAAAACCAATTAGTGACAAACTTTTGGTTTTATTTTAATAACCGATATGTCGTCATGTGATTTTTCTATACAAGATTAGACACTTTAATCAATATAGAAGAATTTAAAATTTAATTACCATATTTCTCCAGCATGCCCGTGTTCTTGAAAATTTGCGAGATCTTCAGAATAAGAAGCATCCCAATAACTTTGTAGCCCCAACATTGAGCCTTCCTCATTAGGATCTTGGTCATCTTTGTCAGAACTGTCGTGGCACGAGGGTATTTTACAACATTTGTATGAATTATTGAGAAAATTATTAAATAACAAGATAGCGAATAGAGTTTTCTTCTTCTCAAATACACTAATTTGAAGTTGTCATATAGTTCTACTATTTGGATAACATGTTCATCTACCTTGATACAAGACGAGAAAATTGTTATATTTTAGGTCTGAATACGCGTATGCTAATCTCGTAGTAGTAATGGAGTGATAATGTGACACATTTTATGAACTTCCCACCTTTGTTCGTAGATGTACATAATTAGAAAGTGCATAATGTAGAATGGTAAGCATAATAACTATAGGAGACCCAGAAAATTTTGCGTGCAAATTCTACG